TATAACAGATATGATTTAGTGGTTTAGCATAGAAATGAGGGTTAAGGATAGAAATAGTGGTTAAGGATAGAATTAAGGATTAAGTTTAGAATATAGGTTAAGGATAGAAATAAGGATTAAGTTTAGAATATAGGTTAAGGATAGAAATAAGGATTAAGTTTAGAATTTAGGTTAAGGATAGAAATAAGGGTTAAGGATAGAATTAAGGTTTAGTATAGGAATAAGGGACTGAATATGAAATTAACGGTTGGATAAAACATTAGTCCAGAGTACTAGACTAATTGAGTGTGGTGGACTACATTTCACTACTATAGAACCATTTTTGGATGAAACAGGAAAAAGATCTAGCTAGAACCAGATTTTGCTTGAACCTTAAATGGTTCTGAAAATGGTACCCAAATCTAGAACCTTAAAAGGTTCAGTACGACACCTTTTTTGTTTTCTGAGTATTATACTTTGTTTAAGATTTCATTTATTTGAAATCATTCGAACAAGTATAGCAGAGTCAAAACCATCTGATGAGACCCTTTAGCAAGGTCGAAATCTAGATCATGGCAGCTTATTCACGCCCCCACCCACACACCCGCACCCTCTTTCTATTTTAAATAAGACAAACAGAGTTTCTCTGTATGCGTAGGTGTGGAATCTATTTCTTCAATACACAACACACATAAAAAAATGTTATAATTTGCTTTTCATTCTATCAAGGTTCTTTCTATAGTCTTGCAAATTGCAATGGCTCGAAATTAGTGATTTTTCTTCGATTTTTACAGTTTCTTCGTAGTATATACGCGCTTTTGAATAATTTTTCATGTTCTCATAAACTAAACCGATGTTGTTGTACGATGTTGCTACATCAGGGTGAGTAGAAGGAAGTGATTGTTGTCTAATCGCAAGAGCTTTTTCGTGAGACAAAAGTGCTTTTGCATATTCACCCATGTCGTGATACACTAAACCGATGTTGTTGTACGATGTTGCCACATCAGGGTGATTGGAATGAAGTGATTGTTGTCGCATGGCAAGTGCTTTTTCGTGAGACAAAAGTGCTTTTGCATATTCACCCATGTCGTGGTACACTAAACCAATGTTGTTGTGCGATATTGCCACATCAGGGTGATTGGGAGGAAGTGATTGTTCTCGTATGTCAAGTGCTTTTTCGTGAGACAAAAGTGCTTTTTCATATTCATTCATGCTGCGATACACTAAACCTATGTTGTTGTGGGATGTAGCCAAATCAGGATGTTTAGAAGGAAGTGATCCTTGTCGAATTGTAAGTGCTTTCTCGTAATAAGAATGAGCTTTTTCATATTCACTCATGTTGTAGCATACGTTACCGATGTTGTTGTAGGAGGAAGCCAAATCAGGATGATTGAAAGGAAGCGATTGTTGTCGAATGACAAGTGCTTTTTCATAATATGAATGTGCGTTTTCATATTCACTCATGTTGGAATACACCAAACCTAAGTTACTGTAGGACCATGCAATACCCAGATGATCTTCCTGGGAATACATTTCGTAGGTTTCAATTGATTTTTCATAGAATTGAATTGCTTCTGTATACTCTGCTTGCTTGAGTTTACATAAACCAAGTCGATTGTATAGATATCCTTTCTTGTTGTCTCTAGATTCTTGTTTCATTAAAATTTGATAAATTTCTTCCGCTTTCACTGGTTGGCCTAATTTCATTACCAACACTTCAGCTAATCGTTGCCAACCTGCTTCATCTGGATAAGTTTCTTCACGAATGGTTCCCGTCAACGCCTGAAGATCTTTGTCATTATCATTCGTCAGCTCCAATTCGACTCGAAATATACGTGGATTTTTATCTGCTTGTCCGATACGTTTAATACGAAATACAGTGTGCATGGCAAAAAGAATTTCATCTTCTTCATTTTTAAAATAACCTACTTCAGCAACAGAAGCAAATGGTGTTGTGGATTGTGCTGGATCTATGGTGATAACAAAAAGAACACCTACCCGATCATGTATGGAAAGAGCACGTTTGAGGAAATCCATTGCAACCTTTTCTGTCTTACTTGTAGACAAAAAGTTGTTGAACGAAATTAAGCCACCTTTATTTTTCGACACATTTTCTAAATCTTCCTTGGACATTCCCTGTCCACGATACACGATGAATTTTTCATTAGCATTTTCACCAGCGAATTGGTTTTTATGTAGTTCGGTAATATGACGATGGATATCTCCAATAAAAAAGCCCATTTTAATAATTACGTCGACTTCTGATCGGGCCAAAGCTCGATTGAGCATGCCATACAAGAATGAATCCAATGTATACCACCAAATCGGTGTTTTTATATGATAATCACGTTCCAACAATTTGACGTTGTCTAATTCTTTCTTATTGTCTTGTTCCAGTGTTTGTTGACAATACTTAGTAAAGTTCAGGATGTGTTTGTCTTCGAATTCAATCTCCAAGAGTATTTCCTTCATGATGTGTGTATACATGAACATTGGATCTAATTGATCCAGATTCCTTCTCGATATGTCCTTTCCAGTATCCATCATGGTAAACCTGATGGCATTGTGCTCACAGTCCTTAGCCGATTGCTTGAGAGCATCACATATCAGATTGATATCTGTGAACACTCCCTTGACCTTCGACCAATTCGTAACCCATCGTTCATGATATCGTTTATTACTGCAAAAAATAAAAATGGAATCCACTTGAGACATATCGTGCACACGAGGTACAATATGTCTACCCAGTGAACCGGAAATGATCATACAGGCTTTCTCATCGCGAATTTCTTCCAAAAACTGGATACAATTTTCACCATCATCGAAAGCTTCGATGGTGTTTATCACTTGTCGTAGCTGTGTAATTGTGTTTTGACTGTCGGCGTTGTTATCGTTAATATTAGCGTCCAACCAGATGAGAAGCATATTCTGTACCATCTTGATATTCGCTCTCCTATGAGCGGCAGATTGTGTAAAACCAGCAGGTACACTTGCAGAACCTTTTGCTTTATTCTTCTTTGATCTCGATGAAACACAACCCATTCTTTATCGACTAGAAATGTTTTTGAAGGGTACTAGCTGAAAAAAAAGAATTAGATTAGGAGGCACTGCATGTAAGTCATCACCACTTAAGCATAACCTTGCTCAATTGATCTCTCCGATTTGGCTCATATTTTTACAGTAGATATATCTAGTAGAGTTAGGAATATAACCAAAATTTCAGCTCAAACCGAGCCACCATTCATCAGATATACGTGTTCAAAGTTTTGATTTACGCAAATACAGTAAAGTAAAGGTAAAGTTCCATCCCTAGGTGTTACTTAAAATTAAAAAACTTGGATCTCACAATTGGCAGTATTTTTGACATGTACTCTCAAGATTATTTTTTGTAGACTTGAGGGTGAGCTCTTAATTTGAAAATGGTTCATCAGTTTTGGTGTTTAGGCCGTCATAGATGGGTAACTAATAACTGATTAATATATTTAGTTTTTTATCGAGAAGAAAAACTTATCTGAAAAATAGACTTGGCCGTTCTGAAGAGCACGTTAATCGTTATCAAATAAACTAAGAATGTGAGTTTTGAAATGTGTTTTTAGCTGTCAGATAAAAAAGGAAAAATGTCTTATTTTTCATGAGTGTCATTGGAATCAGAAATCAATTTCTTCCGCTTTTATTCTGTTGAGCGTGCACGTCAAAAAGATACTTTCATTATAAATTTTGACTGATGGAATAGACGTCAAATATACAAATTCGCCACTAAGTGCTGTCTGTTCTTCCCTACTTTTATCTTTATTTATAAGTTTTCGGTATTTTATTTTTATTTTCAATAAACTATCCTACCTACACAATTGCGTCTATAGAAATTAGACCTATGCGTCAATCAAAATTTCATCAATTTAAACAGCATATATAAAAAAATCAGATAAAAAACGAATGTGTGACTATCTTCATTTGCACGCATCGCTGGACGTTTTTTCAAAACGAATTGCATACATATACATTAGACTATATGACGATCTCCATCGTATCCTGTATCGTTAAAAACTTCAATCAGTTTGGTGAGATTACACGAACGTTTTTGACGTACATGAAAATCATATCACATGGGTCAAACATACAATGGGGTATACGATTTCATTCTGAATTCTGAAGATAAAAATGAACCATCATTTCAAAAAGAAAGGAGGGACTAGGGGATCTTTAGAATAATTCACTTCAAGCCTGAATTCTGAATTTATATATGCATAAGTCCCCCATGGGTATGTTTTTTTTTATGGGGGACTTAGCTTGAATTCAGTCTATATCTGAATTCATTTATGTATAAGTCCCCCCATGGGTATGTTTTTTTTCAGATGGGGGGACTTGGGGGGACTTAGCTTGAATTCAGTTGAATTCTGAATTCTAAATTTTTCAAAATCAATGAAAACTTCCAAAAATCCTAAATTTTCTAAAATCAGCCGAATCTTCCCAAAACATACGAATTTCCTGGAAGAAAGCAATTTGAGAAGCATCGAATTTCCCAGAAAGAAAGTAATTTTGAGAAGCATCGAATTCTCCATATCGGAAGAAATTTAGTATCGAAAGAATATCATAAAATCAGATGCAACCAGCACACTCGAGTTCCCTGTCGATGGAGACATGAATTTTGCTGTATCACTAATCATCCTACCGCAACGCTAAGATCCCGATCACCGAATCTCGATGAAAACTAATCACTCGTGTCAAATAACTCCGAAAATCGGTGCAACAATGGACAAGTACTCCTGAAAGAAAGAGTAAGAAACCATGTGCCTCCTTCTTCAACGTCATAATACGCACCTCCACACGTGAGCACTCTGCGCCGGGAACACGCTTGTCTACACACACATGCTACAGCCTACGTTGTGGGTGCTGTGAAAGACTAATACGCTTGTCTAAAGGCACACTCTAAGTTCTCAGATGTGAATGCCGCGCATCAAGAATACACTTCTCTGCACACTTTGACTTGCAAGACATTGGCCCTGCTTATTTCTGAAGTGCTAATACTAATACTTCTAAATATAGATTTTTAGTTGCCTCCACCCAGTACACAGAAATGAATATGATTTGAGTTATAAAACTTGTCAAAGCTTTCTCGGATATGTCGTTTTTGTGCATAACACCGGACCGAACCCAACCATTGGATTTAGTCAGTTTGTCTCTGATTCATCCGAGTTATATTGGAAGTCCACTGTGGGGTTGTTTGGCGATTGTGATTGCTTGTTGTTTCTTAGTCTCAGTGATTAATTGCATACAAAGGGCATGTGTTATGATACAACTGTGGTATCTCATTACCATGTTCGTAATAGATTGTCTACCTGTCTTGTAGTACTATATCTTTTTCAATAGGGATCGTCCCTCTTAAGGCAACGAGACTAATTTCGTCAGTCATCGTAGTCGCTAGCACTTTCTACGTACTTCTTCGTTATCGTTGTCATTTCTTTGTATATTTTTATACTTATATTTATTCTGAAGCGAGCACTAGTTCGAAATTTTCGTACCAGTTGATTCTTATTTTATATGTGAACGTTTTTCTCATCATTTTTTTGTTGCTACGGATGTTCTAAATATGCATGCTACGTTTTACGGCTAGATAATCGCCAAGCTAAGGTACAATTGTGTGTACCGAAAAAAGTAATACTTCTGTTGGTTATTTATTTTCTCAAATAGACTTTTTCTTTGTTACAAAAAGCGGGATATGATGAACTAAGATAGCTGAATAAGCTGCTTCCCATTAGCTGAGTCAAGTTGTAAATCGAATAGCAAAAAGAAAACGCCTTTTTTCTTACTCGAATGAAATCAACATACTAGCTTCTGATGAGAATGCAAAACGTTTCGTAAAACTTCATGCTTTTACCTCTGAAAAGGTAATGAAAGTGATTCACCTTTTCACACGAAAAGTCTTTATCCTTATTTAGATGAACTTATTCTGAAATACTTGTCGGTACCAGCTGCATTACCTTCTTTTGTGCGAATCTTTCCCAAAGCAGATTTTTAATGCATCATCGCTCTGCGCTAACTTCAAAAAATGTATGCTTGCTGAGATTTCTCAAATGTAATAAAGTTTTGTTGTTGGTTAATTTTTTAGGCTCGAAAACAAGAAAGCTAGTAAAGAGCTTGCCATTCATGAGTCACACATGTGCCGAACTATTACTGGTATTGGAGATTCGGTAACTATACTCGTACTCGCGGATCAGCATTCGTAATCAAGGAGTCCGTTCAATGCCACCAACGGTATCCCCTCCTTTACTAGTTAATTTTTTTCTTTCCTCCACAGCCAGCCTCGCTGCAAATACAAATTTGTCTTTCGGACACAGACGGAGCATTGTATGATATAAAATACTAAATAAAGCGTTATCCCTACGCCGCAGTTCCGAAAATCAGTGTGAGATCTGTTAACAATAGATATCATCACACAGAACATTATCGTATCTGCAATCTCAGATTAATTGTTACATTCAGATTCATCGAAACATATCAATATTACATTTGATTCCCTATACTCTTTCAGGAATCTGATCGTCAGATTTTATACAATACTTCACAGACCACGATTTTCGTGCTAGTTTTTCTGGGATCCTACAACTTCGATACAAGATCAGATGTAGCATCGTGTCAGATGTTAGCCTCTGATTGTTAGCCCTCAATTAACGCAAGCACAACTCAACATAAAATTGTCAGAATCTGGAGTCCAGTGACCCAGATTCCCATGCTAAATACGGAAGGATCCGACTAAGCTCTGATAGACTTCTTTCATTTTCAATCTCAATCCGACAGGAATCAATGACATCCAGATATTGATCCGACTCACTCTTTTGATTCACTTGAACACAGCCATTGCGTCCATTACTCCCATTCAGTTCCGTAAATAAGAAAACCTGGCGAAAACAAATTTCTGAAAACCTCAAAACACATCTAATCCAGAATACGTACCCTCAAGTCCCCCCATCCAGAAAAAGACATACCCAGGGGGACTTACACATAAATGAATTCAGATATAGACTGAATTCAAGCTAAGTTCCGCCAGGTCACCCATCCAGAAAAAAACATACCCCTGGGGGACTTATGGATGGATATTGAATTCAGATATAGAGTGAATTCAAGCTAAGTCCTCCCAAGTCCCCCCATCCAGAAAAAACATACCCATGGGGGGACTTATACATATATGAATTTGTAATTGAGAATTGAGCTGAATAGGTGTTGTTCTCGGAGTATCAGGAATTCGGCTGGCTATTTTAGCTGTGGTTTTTGCATGAGAAGTATGGAAGCTTAGGAGATTATTGTGAAACTGTGGTGAAGAAATTGCATTCCTTGTCGTGTGGCAGAATTGTTGACAGCTGCTCCTGGATCCTCTAAACCCCCTGTGTTGCGGAAAGTTGAGGTATTTTTTTCTTTTTTGAATTCAGTTTGAAATGGAATACCCCATTGACTCGGGTCAAACTTGGTCAGTATCTATAAGCTCGAAAATGAAGTTGATGCATAACGAAGTAGATAACTATAAATTAAGCATAACTATTTTATTTCGAACTCTATTGTGGAAAGGATATGAGAAATGAGTAATGCTCATCCTATATGGATCGGTTAATCCTTTTCTGAAAGAATTTCTACACTGAGCTGGTGTTTGCGACATAATAATAATATATTATTGTTCACTTTAAAACGATATAAAAAGAAACTTTACTTGTATTTCTGGTTGTAGCAAATATTTAGTTTGAAGGAATCAAATGCGTGTCGACGTTTGTAAAAATATATCAAAAGGAAACTTACCTGTTTCTCTTTCTGCAGATATAACGGCCCTACCTACCAATAGTATGTTTCACATATTTATTCTGTTTTTTTTCTTACTTAAAGATGCATTGAAAAGATATGCATTTCTATCGACCACGATTACTTTTTTCTGACAGCTCATCACCTATTTCGATTAGTAATCACTCAAGTGTGGAAACTGGGGATAAAACCAACAGAGGATAGGATGAGTAAGATAGAATAAGGCGCTGATCCACGATAAAAACGATCGTCAGATGGCTGAGGGTGTGGGTGTGGGGTTTGTGTTTGTGTGAGACTGGGTATTCTTCTCTGGCTTCACATCCACATCCACCCACACCCACACCCACACCCACACCCACACCCACACCCACACCCTATTTCCTATGCTGACTTTAATTGTTGTCTCATGTCTTCGCCTAGTTTGAAATTTTCCGTTAAAAGGTCTAAATCAAATTATATTAGATGTATAAGTTCAAAGGTTCACTTGATAATGCGAGTCGAAATGACAGTCAATTGTAACCTATAAAGTATCGTTTTGGATTCCTCTCGGTTTTCAAACAAAGTTCAATTCTCCATAGCCATCTTCATTATTGTCAGTCTGTATGGAATAAAGTTCAGAAATCTGGTGTAGCCATTGTTTATATTACTAAAACTCTTTTTACTTGGGTTTTTACGTCCCTTGTACTGCTCTCTGCCGTTAGGTCTTATTACATTTTTTAAAGAAGAAAATGCTAAACGAAAATAAGAAAACTTGGTCTTTCATTGCTGTCTTTAACATATGTTTACAACATGAGTTGCCAAATTCGAGTTTCAATTATAACTGGATATTGAACTATTATCACTTCGAATAAAAATATGTAAACACACGACGCACCTATGTTGAAATAGCAAAAAACAAAGGAAAAGAGTAAAGTTAATTTATAAATTTATAAAAATTCGCGAGACGCTGTTGTGTTTTTTCGTAAAACAAATATGTGTACTGAAGATAATTCAAGGATTTTGATTGAGATTAACGCTTCTTTATGTGAAGAAAGTCGTGAATCTAATTTACTTTTAAATGATTTGAAAACGATGATTAAATGTAATGAAGAAATGTTTCGATATTATATGCATATATTATTCTATTTAGAATTGTATACAGCATATTGCATAGCATTAAGTCTACTTTTTCTGCAAATTAGTTTTTGAACATTCCAGTTTTGTTTTAACTATAGGATTGGTACTCATACTAGTACTTGTACTCGAGAAAATATGTACTAGCCTAGCTCTTGCTAAAAAGTTACTTAAATAGATTTATTTTTTATCAATTGATTTCTTTCGATACATCATTATATCCCATATCGATCTATTCGGATTTGATAATTGAACTTCGATCCGATCAGGTTCAAGTAATTGTTCACGACCGTCAAGTACATCCATGGCTAAACGCGCAAGATGCAATGTAACATGTAAAGGATGTTTTTCTGGTGAATCAGCCCATTCGTCAAGAGACATCCATTTACAAGCAGCTACTTCAAGTGGATCAAACTTAATTTTCTGATTTTCTTCATTTTCATCCAATGACATTAGACATGCAAAATGAACATCACCATGTCCAAAACGAAATTGTGCCTTGTATGTGAATGCAAGTATGCCACGAAAATGAGCACGAATACCTGTTTCTTCAAATACTTCACGTTCAACACCATGTTCGATTGATTCGCCTAAATAGATGAAACTGATTGTTAGCAAACAATGCAAATATATGTTCTACACTGTAAAAAAAGAGTAGAATAATATACCCTTACCCTTTCTACAAATACTGCTAAACCCTTCAAGGGTTTATGAATCATAAATTTAAGGAGAAGGGTATATGATTCTGTCTCCTAGGGTATTTTATTCTACGGTTTCGAGAAAGGGTTTATTACTTTCTTACAAAGGGTATTTTACTATACGATCATATATTTATTGATCTACCCTTTTATGAAAAAGGGTTTATTGTTCTACTCTTTAATGAAAAGGGTTTAGCATTCTCCGACCAAGGTTTTGTTGTTCTACCCGTAAGAAAGACTTCTTCATTCAAAAGAAACAGGCTTTTTAGTATTATTTAACAATACGTGGATATAGAACGAAAACTACTTGTTTATTTCATTTATACTTAATCAAACGACTTCTTGAACAAAAAATAACTACCAATTGGGCAAAGTATTTTTATTTTATTTAGATATTGGTCAACGATTTGTTGAACAATACGTATGTATGACACTAAAATAAATTCTACTTTTATTTTATTTAGATGTTGGTTAACAATTTGTTGAACAATATGTAAGTATAAAATTAAAATGAATTCTTGTTTTATTTTATTTAGATATCGTCAAATAAGTCGTTCAATGGTAAGTATAAAATTTGAAAGAAATATTTTTTTCTTTTATTTAGAGTTGGTCGAGCAGGTTATCAAATGGTAAGTATTTTACAAATTTAATAAATTTATTTTTGTTCTAGATTTACCTCGACATTTCACCGATCTGAAGATATGGAGGGGTTTAGGAAGATAATAAATTCTTTAAGGATCTATTATTCTACGCTTTTTTAACAGTGTAATAAACTCTTTTATAGGTATGGCACAAGAATAATAAACCGGTTTTTGGGTATGTAAGAAAAGTAATAAACCCTTTTTGGGTATGGAACCAAAGTAATAAACCCTTTGAAGGATTTATGATACGTTGCACTTTCATAAACCCTTTAAGGGTATATTAATATACGTTTTTTTTTACAGTGTACCTTACCCATGTCAAGACATCCACCAGGTATTGTAAAATAATCCTTAACATTAGTAAAACGTTCCTGGATAAGTAATACTTCACGTTTTTTATTTACTACAAGGCCACCAACACCAACGGTAGACATAGCATAACTAGGTAATTTATTTAGATCACTTTCATCAAGCCAATGAGTTAACATAACATATTCAGGTTTAGCATGATGAAGAACAAAACCGAATTTTTGTGCAGTTGGAATCAATTCTGTTTGATCATGTGGTATTGAAAGCCAAATTCCTCTTCGTTTTGCTTGTCTCCATGCAATCAATGACTGTTCCAATTGACGTTCAAATAAAGTTACCGTTTTAGCTAAAAGATTTTGATCAACAGTTACACCTGAATAAATATCATCACGACCAGTTAATAGTGTGACTTTATCACATTTTTCGTCATGAATAGTACTCATTTTTGATAATTTAATAGTAATATATTTTTTTGACGAATAGCATAAATCGTTGGAGTGGCTAAATATGATAACCAATGAAGAGAATGAAATGGTAGACACATAGCGACATATGGGGAGAGGACATTGTAATACCTGGGGTGAGGGTGAGTCAAAAAGCATACTGTTATCGTGATTTCGACCTTGCTTAAGAGTCTCATCAAATGGTTTAATTGCCTATGGATTCTGTTCGAATTAATCAAACTACATTTCTTTGTGAATTAGATTTCTTTAATCTAGTAGTATAATTAGAACAAGCATAAGTCGATGGCGTTTTATCTTTCTCAGGTTTGTTGAAAGCAGATTTCCATTGATTCAAATTCATTTTTCGGTACGACTTGCATGATATATTACAATAAATGAAAGAAAGGAAGAAAAAAAACTGGTTTTAAGACACTGGCTTGATGGTGATAGCTCCTGTTGCATCGCATCAGAAATATGAGATTCATATACTTTGGTGTCTTGTTTATCATCTGATATTTTATGCAAATGGACAGGACCAAGATATCAACTAAATGATCACTTAAAATCGTGTCCTTTTCAACAAATACGTCCTATTCTACACTGTAAAAAAAAGGGCAGAATAATGAACGCTTGCCCTTGATTTTTTTTTCTATAAACCCTTGAAGGGTTTATACGCGTGTCATATACCCTATGAAGGGTATATGAGCCGAAGGGTTTGTTATCGTGAGGGTATATAAATTTAAAAAGGATATATGAAACTGTTTTAAGGGTTTTTTATTTCATAATTTTATTCAACGTGTTTATTAATAAACGGATAGGCGTAGATTAATATACGTATTTCCAAAATCAGTTTATTATCCAACAAGCAAGGGTAGATTATTATACGATTCATGCAAAACAAATCTTATTCTACGGCTAGGGGTAGATTATTCTCCACTTTCAGAATAAGCATTTATTATAATACCGTTGAGGGTAGATCAATGTACGATGTAACAAAAAGGGTTGATTATTCTCCACTTTCAGAAAAAGCGTTTACTATAATACCGTTGATGGCAGACAAGTAGAGCGATTCATTAAAAGGGTTGATTATTCTACATTCTCGGCAGAAGCGTTTATTATAATACTGTTGAGGGTAGATTATTGTACGACATTGTAAAAATGGTTTATTATTCTACGACCAACGGTTGATTATTCTTCACTTTCTGAAAAAGCGTTTATTATAATACGTTTGAGGGTAAAGCAACACATGATTTCACCAAAAGGGTTTATTATTCTACGACCAACGATTGATTATTCTCCAGTTTAAGTAGAAGCGTTTATCATAATACCTGTGAGGGTTCCAGCAGTGTCCAAGAACTGAGAAATAGGAATTCCTAATCTGCCGAGGGATTGTCAGCGTCTCTGTGATAATTCCTAGAAGAAATGGGAATCAACCATTGGTTCCCTCACAGTTCCACCATTCACGAAAGTTGCTGTATTACTTTCTTTTAAATAATTTGTGCACGGAACTATTGATTCTCACAAGTTTGCAAGTGAAAATGAGTGTAAAAACAAAAAATATCGTGAATATTCCATATTTTTACGTTTAGTATGAAAGGAACTGTACTCTAAAAACAAAAAAAGATGTCATATGGAACTATTTATGGTTCTAGCCAAGATACTGAACCTTTTAAGGTTTCACTCGTTGATTAATAAACCATCGAGGGTTCTAGCTGGTTTAAAGAACCATGACAGATCCTCAATAGTTCAGGATGTTTGAAAAGGTTCCGTCCTGTACCCTTTATTCTGATGCTGAACCATTTTTCCAAAGATGGTTCTGGCTTGAAGCAAGGTATTATATTTTCGGAAGTAATATATATATTTCAAATAGGTTATTGAGGTCGAGGATTTCGAATCCGTTATTATTTTTTCGATCCGAGCTTCCATTGGTGAGAGATTGGGTCCATCAAAAAATCCGTGACTGTAAAATTACACATTTTATTTCAACTCCGATCTCAACTCTGATCGAAGTTTGACATAAGTTATTGAGATCGAGCAATCCGAATCCGGCATCATCGATACCGAGCCTGAGGATCCCAGACGGATTGATAGATATGGGTAGGTGCATCTCAATAATCAATTCTATAGTAAGTTATAACTTATAAAATACGCTTATTCTTTATCTATTTTCATATATCACAATTATCAATAGATAGTAATGTCAATCTGGTAAAATGAATTCAATAAGTTCTTTATTTAGGTATGTAGCAATAATCAATTGAAATGCAGGTTCAATATGATAAAATGAATTTTTTTTCTATTTAGGTATATGTGAATAATTGATCTCATGGTAAGTTCAATCTTAGAGTATCAGTCACTCATCTTGTTTTTTGTTTAGGATCGTCTCAAAAACAAGTAACAGTGATTCCCATTTCGTGCAAATAACGGAGAAAGGGGTGGCTCGTATTCTTCTCACAACAAATCAAAGTAAATATAACAGATATGATTTAGTGGTTTAGCATAGAAATGAGGGTTAAGGATAGAAATAGTGGTTAAGGATAGAATTAAGGATTAAGTTTAGAATATAGGTTAAGGATAGAAATAAGGATTAAGCTTAGAATATAGGTTAAGGATAGAAATAAGGATTAAGTTTAGAATTTAGGTTAAGGATAGAAATAAGGGTTAAGGATAGAAATAAGGGTTAAGGATAGAATTAAGGTTTAGTATAGGAATAAGGGACTGAATATGAAATTAACGGTTGGATAAAACATTAGTCTAGAGTACTAGACTAATTGAGTGTGGTGGACTAGATTTCACTACTATAGAACCATTTTTGGATGAAACAGGAAAAGATTCCAGCTAGAACCAGATTTTGCTTGAACCTTAAATGGTTCTGAAAATGGTACCCAAATCTAGAACCTTAAAAGGTTCAGTATGACACCTTTTTTGTTTTCTGAGAACGAGCGTACAATCAACTCACTAGACATATGATACTCATTTCAGTAGCGCAAATATTTGATTAATGACAAAAAATGACTCATGCTTGTGCAAGGAGCTTTCATAATAGTGACGTAAGTCTCATGGTAGCTTTATAAATAAGAAGTCACGATAGTAACAAATACCTTTTTTTTTAGAGTGTAGTATGCTTCAGAAATTCTAAGACACGATTTGCCCGACAATCAACTACCAACTTTTTAGACTCGAAAAAGAAACTTGGTCTAGGTATGCTTATAGGACCGAACTTCTGACAAATTTTCAAGTAATCAGTATACACAACGCACCACAGCGATCCTGGCTCTCTGATTAAAAGACCGTTCCGATTCGCTCTTGTGTAAGAGTGATCAGTCTACATTTACCAAAACTTATTAAAGCGATGTGAATGTTGGTGTGAACGAAGGAAACAAGTAGGCCCACACCCTCATGCAGGCTTATTCCATGTCCATACATCAAATGACGGCGCACGGAGAAACATACAGCATTGAAAAAATTCCAGCAGACGGTTCATGCCTCTTTCACTGCTTCAAACGTACATTTAATTACCCCCAAACGGTCGATGATTATCGTAATTTGCTCGTCGATCTTATTGCAAAGATAGGAATTCAGCCTAGCTATCTCAACACAGATTCATACGAAGAGTATGCAACAAGGATTCGCAATCCACTGTATTGGGGAGGAGAAATAGAAGTCAGTCTCCTAGCGCACTATCATCAAGTGAACGTCGTAGTCTTGGATCTAACGACAGGGAAGCTGCTTCCTCATCCACCCAGTGGCATATTATTTGATGAATCTTTGAATGCAGCCTCGGACACTTGTGACCGCCTGTTTCTTGTCTATAACGGCACTCATTATGAGATCTTCTATTCGACTGATGCCAATCAGAAACAAAAATTTCTATTTCCTCCAGAGGACGTCATGGTAGGAGAGCAGGTCATGAAATGTTACAATCACTTTGCAACATTTACTCATTCGCAATCTAATCGTTCGTCAGAGAACAAAACACCACGTGTACCATCGGAGGAAAAAGTAGTGAGCGAGAAACTCACTGATGAATTTCTTCAACTCAATAAAAGAATTCAGAAAATGGCAGTAGGAGACCACCAAAAATCTCCTACATTGACTACTAGTGTCGAAAAGACGCATGCCATCAAACTGACGTTTCCTATGTATCTGGTGTGCAACTCTCAATCAACTCAGGTGCACGACATAACTTGCACTGAATTTGTAGCCGCTGTATATTATCACATAAAAAAGGAGAATGCAGCTACCGTGCGAAAAAAGCTTACTGTTTTCCGTGAAGAAGGCATGGCTGACTTTTTTTTAAGTATTCAATTAGCAGTGGGATGGTTAAGTTCGGCATCGCTTTTTTCTTCTTCATTTGATATTGACCTGAGTTCAATTACGCTCACTGACTATCCCACAGAGAACGAGTCTACTTACATGATGCGTTTTTTAATTCTTACTGCCGCGTGGGCATGTCGTCTGATAGAAGTGCGACTCAAAAAAGATAACTATGCAATAATACAGTGTAAGCTAGCGACCGGCTCCATCTATTATTCTTATCATCACCCTACTGACGATAATAATCTATTCCAATACTACATGAAGGTGTTCAATATAACAACGCAGGAGGTTAAAGAGCTTGAAACCGAAAACCATACATACTATGGCAGTTATTTGTCAGAGGATTCAGATGACGAGCCAATGCAATTTCGGTAAATGTTCAGTCGGCATCTGACTTTGAGAAGAACATCGTTCAAACTCTCCAACCGAAATTATTTTACCAGCACGGTAGGCAAAAAGATACGCTTAAGCTAAATATGGGTGCTTCTCCGAGTGGAATCTGTCCAATGCACATGCGAATACCAGTAAACCCTGTGCTACAACCAGGATGCAATCGCGAGCGTTTCTCAACTGAGACTCGCCGGAACTATGAACGTCAGCTGGACGTGGTCAACCGGCGAATTGCTAATGGTCAGCCTGTCGATTCAGAGTCTTTGTACAAAGATGATGTGACCATGCAATTCTACGTTGCACAGTATCGCGGTTATCACTATAATATAGCGAAATGGGGCGACACACAGCGTCGAGACCATCGAAAATCAAGAAAACTATCTGGTCCTGTATATAGTATGTCAGTCCCGACGACCAACACACGGGAAGAGTCGGCACTTACTTTAAGTGAAATTTTTCTCGCCTTTCAGGCACCGGCAGCGTGGCGCTATCCAAATTATACTTTCACTAGTCTTGCAGATCTAGTGCAACAGGCGTACACCAACGACTACGTCAGATTTCATCATATGATTCGTAAGAAGCAATCGTTCATAGCTGATCTATTGCTTAATGACGAAAATCCATTCGTTTCAACAGGCGACATACCTTACCATGCACTGAAGTAGGACTACGGTATAAAGGTGTATATAGGGTCAGAGGATCTTATCTTGAAACCACGATGGAACCGAGACCGCAAGGCGGAGCGACCTTACTCTGGTGTAGTGTATGTCTTGCTTCATCCAATTGGCGACTATGCTGCTTCTGATGCTGCAGAGCAACAGTCACCAAATCACCTCACATCACTTAATTATAGTGGTCGAGTTCAAATACCTGTCGTTATCGCCCCAGAACGAGAAACGTCTTTTCCAGGCTACATTCCAAAGGACCGGCTCGTCTACCAACATGTAGCACGATATCCATCGTTTGAACATGAATGGCGTCAAAATTTCTACACAAAATATGGATTAACGGAGAGACTCTATCAAGAACTGTCGAAGCTATTAGACAATCATCCACCGCATTCGAAAGAGCGGATTCAGACAGAATTACTTTTAGCCGAATGGTTGTGTTGCTATCACGGTTTACGGCTGGTAGAGCTAGCGCGTCGCATTGCTGAAGACGATTGAGGTGGGATTCTTGTCTATCGAGACAATGAAGGTAATTTCGTGCTAGAGCCAGAAAAAACAACAGAACCATCAAAAGATGAACAGAGAAGAGAACAAGTGAACCAGAGACGTAAACAACGACAATAAACCTTACCTGAAGGGCCATGCAGTATAGAACTTTCCGAAGAAGGACTGAAACAATTTAATATGCACCCTCGATACCAATTGAGTCCTCTACAACAAACGAATGAAAGAAACGTTTTTTGGCTGTTATTGAGAGCAGTGGAGCTCGATTTACAACGCGCTTTGAAACATTTTCTGTCTTTTGATTGGATCCGCAAGATGATCAATTATCGCTTTAAATCGGTATCTCAAGCGGATAAACATGAATCTTATTTTCGGAACATTGATGATATGCATATAATTCATTCTTGCGTTCTCAATGAGCGCTGGAATTGCCTTACTTTAATACTTGAGATATGCAGAAACCATGGCGACGTCCTTATGCATAATGCGATGCTTCAGTGCAATATAATTTTTCTTGGCAACAATGAACTAAAGTTAGCAAACGTATCCTGGCTTCACTTCGCTGTAGTAAAACTTGTCTGTGGTCAGAAAAGTGTCACCTGGTCGCAGTGTGTCATATCTATTCTTAAAAACAAGCATATGCTAGACTCAGCCAACGTAGGAGCAACTGTAATTTGTGAGACCACTAAAGAAAAATGAACCAATATTACCCCCCTGCATTTAATGGTTCTCTTGACAGCAGATACGAAAGCTCTGGATATGTATCTCCTTGTGAAACCCGACGACATTCATCGAGAAAATGATAATAAACGAACACCGCTGCAATATGCCACTAAATTCCACGACAGTGCATCTGCATTAATACAACTATACTCCTCAATTCAATCACCAACCATATATAATACAGACTCACCGAATACAAACGAGGTCACTATTGATGGTTCCAACATCAGAATCTGCAGTAAATGTGGAATAGATATAGATACTAATGCGATAGGTCTGTCGCAGACGCTCAGATGCGACTGTGGTCTGATTTTCTGTAATCGATGCACTAAAATATGTTGCCATTCTGATGCATGCATCTGTGACTTCTGTGAAAACCAATGCGATTTGTGCTTCCACAGTCTTGCAAAAGCATGTCTGATTCAGTGTGCTGAAGAATGCTGTGATTACGCTACATGTCCAGACTGCTATGAACAATGTTCGAGCTGCAAAATAAGTATATGCAACGTCTGTTTCAGTATGCACATTTGTGCCTCAGAATCAGGAACCTATGACAGCGAATAAACTAGCCACATCCCAACAGTGTGATAGTATGAGGGTGGAGTGAGTATAATAAATAAAATTGAAGAGTTTAACAATAAAGCAATCATTTCACTTGCCCACAAAAATACTCATGGACTCAAACAAATCCATTCACATAAATATGTCTCAACAAGCATGATGGACTTGCTTAGAAAGATCCCAAAAATCAGAACAGGAATCGATTGATAACAAAGTAAGTTGTATATCAAAGACGCAAATCATTCGGCTAGTCTCAACTAGGGATGCAACGGTGACGGTGAATCACCGGTTCACCGCCCACCGGTAACCGGTCCATCGGTAACCGGTCGTACTAAACCAGCTCTGATTGGAACTAGTTGTTGATGACAGCAATTACTTTCGGTCTCTCATGGTTTCAACAGCACTTTACCTACCACAAATGTAATTATTCAAAGTCAAAATTTTAAATCGAGGAGATATTAATGGAGCTGGCAATTTCTCTTTTTTTCAAATATCTTCTTAATAATCGCTGATAGTGACGCTGATACACAGGTGATTTAATTGCATCGAGTACTCATTTACAGGTGTCATATAGGTGTGTTGGAAAAATGTCGAAAGGAAAAATGTCGAAAGTGAAAAATAAAAAAATAATGATGCCTCAAGTATATGGCGATTGTAACCACATATACTTCATTGTTTTTTCTTATAATTTTACTAGTGCAGAATTTTAGTCAGTATTGATAGGGATGACTAACTATTGATACAAGTAAAATAGAGGAGTTGAATAAAGTAACAACAACAAATAAGTATTGGATATGCACTATTAATTATTGTGCAGCTAAAGTGCATACTGATTCAAATAATCGATTGATGAAAACTGTTTGCAATCATAGTCATAGTCATCTTCCAGGAAAAGAAAAAATTGAGGTCCGTGAAGCTCGTGAAAAAATGACATATTTAAAAAGAATTTTTCTCACCCTTAACATTTCAGCTTAATTTCATACAAAAAACATACACTATATTATTTACAATTCTCTAAAATATTAACTGACAATGTTTCATGTCAATATAATTTTTTCGACATTTTTCCTTTCGATATTTTTCCTCTCGACATTTGTCCTTTCGATATTTTTCCTTTCGACATTTGTCCTTTCGATATTTTTCCTCTTCCTTCTTTCGACATTTCTACTTTAGACATTTTTCCTTTCAACATTATGACGGCCAACCGTCATATACGTATATGTGCAGTCATAGTTGAACTAGTACGTACCATTAGTGGACTTCCATTTTTATGCTAAGGACGATCGTGTTGCACAACCATTCTGAATTTCAATGCCGATAAAGAATTTAAGTTGTTACAAAATCATCAAAAGTTAATACTATACAAGATTGCCAGTACTATGATTCTCTTATTCCATGTTGTAGTTTTCATACGACTCCGAATAAATCATAATATACATTTTAAAGATCGCTAACTTTTAGTTTTAAAGTTTTTGTTTAATATTGTCTAGATAATTTATACATGGGAATTGAAGTTTAATGTTGCTGAAAAATGTATATAATTTGAGTATCCAAACTGGAAATAGTACTGTATGTATTTATCGAAATGAAAAATATCTTGCAAACCGCACGCATATTCATGTTTTAACAGTGTTTGTGTTATTATTAAACTTAAACAATTTTCAAACACATACTATGTGAAAAATACCCCTTTTAAGAGTCAGAGTAAAACTGAATTGGAAGCAGAGTAATAGATCAAGCGAAGAATTAAAACTAGCATCGGGAAGAGTACCAGTCATCGATGAATTTAAACACTGAAAATTTCAGTTATATCGTATTACATAACTATAAAAACTAATTTTCATTTACAATAATATCATTTACATCTGTGCTTTGTGCCAGCAACACAATCCGTCACACATTCAAATGTACCGGTTATTGATAGACCGGTTACCGTTAAGGACCGGTTACCGGTGGACCGGTTACCGGTGGACCGGTTACCGGTGGACCGGTTATCGTTAAGGACCGGTTACCGGTGGACCGGTTACCGTTAAGGGCCGGTTACCGGTGAACCGGTTACCGATAAGACCGGTTATCGTCACCGTTGCATCCCTAACTATGACACGTGAAGAGTTTTTTCTTTTTCTCAAACACAACCGCAACTGATAAAGTGTGCCAAAAGTTAACAAAAATACAGTTTCGAAAAAAGCGTGCAACAGTTAGTGTAAATATAAATCAAGAAGGTTTGCTTTGAGTAAGCATTACTTTATTATGATTGAATTGAATATATGTAAGTCAAAATGAAATTTTATTGTGAACATACTTATTAGAAAATAAAGATTTCAATTTGAAAGCTAGACTTTATAGTAAAACGAAAAACTGAGAATGCCCTTTCCGGATTGAAAGTAGTTTGCGAAATTGATTTCCGTCGCCGATGAAGTTAGATTTCTCGTAGCCACGCTCAACTTCCCCTTTCTTGCTTTTTATTTTATGTGACCAGCAAAACGAAAAAAACCAACAAAGGAAAAAAAGATCATGACTCATAAAAAGCAGAAGAACGAACCAAGGAAAGAAAGAAGATCATCCAATACATTTATCTCCTGTCCTAACAGATGACTATTGTGAAAAATTTAAACTGCGTACCTCACGAATGTATCCCATTTGGGACCTGAACAGCTGGCAACCCTGGTAATCATATAAAATCTAATAAAATATTTTCGACAGTAAGAAGCTGGATCACTGATTTTCATTCAGTAGAGCAAGTAAACACTATAAAATAAAAGATATTAATAAAAAATTACCTTAAAAAGAAATAATCTTTGTAGTTGATAATTGATATTGTTTCCAAAAAATATTTTTTGTTTCTATTATGAAAAAGATTCATTAGTTTATTTGTTGATTTAAATAATAAAAAAAGAAATATCTTACCTTGAATAGTGTTAACAAGTTTACATAATGAAATAAATGAATATAGGCTTATGATTCTTTCATTCTGCACAGGTGCAGATAAAAGACAAGCGATCAATTAGTAGACTACGTCAATATGTTATTGCGTTTTCTATACGACATAATTGATTGATCTTAATGATGACTAGTAATTGTAACACTTTCACATCGTTGATCAATCCAAAGTACAATGATAGCTAATATCAATTATACATCTGAATTCACTAAAAATGACTATAAATAGTTACAATTTTCAACTTAACGTACCATTCCCCCTTATCTTCTTCTTCTTATTTTATTATATTATGTATATAATTTTTCTTTCTATTTTGGCTTCTATTCATATTTAGCATCATCAATATAAAGAGTAATTATAGTTTTAGTTTTTGAATTTTTTTCTGTTGTCTCAGCTTTTTACCCCATTTATCTATTTATTATTATTATTTTAATTTCATATGATAATAATTCTTTTATTATTTTCGTTTTAGTTAACAAATCTTTTTTTCTTTTCTATTTTAGTTATATAAAAAAAAAGTAAGTTCTTTTATGTTTTTATACGTCCTACAGAGAGAAGGCCTTCCATACATCGGCGCGAAACTGACCAAGCCTATCTTGGTGCCCGTAGCATGTACAGGCCACTATATAGATTCTATCTGCTGTATGTTCTATACACGTTAGTTTCTACGTCTGTACGTGAAGAGCTTCGGTTCACTACGGCTTTTCTTTGAAGCAAAAGAGAGTGAAAGAAAATTTCTTGTATTTTGTTCATTTCTTTCAAAGTATAGAAAAACAAACGAACAAAGAGAGAAAACAATTCACAAGTCTTATTCGATAGAAAACCGTTGAACACGATGATTATACTCATCAGCGACATAGAGATTACCATGTCGATCGAAAGACAAACAAATGGGGCAGCTGAACTGATTTGCTCGTTCTCCTTTTCCATTTCCACCCACAATTACAGTGCCTTGTTTCTTGTCACCTTGAGTCCAACGCATTACACGGTCATTCGACGAGTCTGCTACATAGAGTGTACCCAACGTATCAACATAGAGTCCATTATGATAATGCAATTGTGTCAGAGCGCTCCCTTGACCTTGACCTCCAGCGACGACAATACCTTCTTTTGCACCTTTATTCCATTTCATCACACGATGATTCCAGTTGTCTGATACGTAGACATTTTGTTGTCGATCGACAAAGAGATATCTCGGCTCGTTGAGTTGATTGAGACCATCGCCTTTACCATTACCACCAGCTACGAGAGTGCCATTCTTCTCACCCAATCTGTATCGTCTTACTTCATCTTTTCCGACGTCAGAGACGTAGAGATATCTCTGCTCATCCATTGCTAATCCATAACAAGTGATGTTGTCGATGAGGATTTCACCTTGTGTTGTGCCACTATGACGAGAACATCGTACAACTCGCCGATTGTCTCGATCACAAATAATGAGACTATTCGTCTCTTTGTCAACTAAGACATCTCTTGGACCATACAATTGATTCAATCTACTCCCTGCGCCTTTGCCACCAGCAACAACTTGTCCATTCGTCGCATCACCATTCTTCCATTGGATGATACGATTATTCCCCCAGTCAGCAACAACCACTGTTTGATTATCATCAACGAAGAGACCACGAGGCCAGTAGAGTTGATTAGTGGCATCCCCTCTCCCCTTACCACCAGCAACAGTGACTCCGTTCTGTGTCCATTTAGCATTAGCAGGAATATTAACTAGAAGAGAAAAAGTCAGAATAATAGATCTCTATCTCTATCTCTCTCTCTCTTTCTCGAGTACAGCTTATCCAGTAGTATATGAAATAATTTTGAAATTATCGAGCAAAATTCTTTGAATAGATCGTGTTTTTTAGAAATTCCCCAGAATAAGGTTTTTTTTGTATATTGGAAGAGTATTTTAACTGAAAATGACGCTTCTAAAAACTCTACGAATCAAGCGAAGTCAAAGAATTTCGAAACATTCCCTTGAAGTGAAAATAACTGTGTACGCATATGAAAAAGATTCATGGTAATGATAGAGAAAAAATATAAATGACTTACCAGAAGTTTTGTTAGTACTTAATGCTGCTGAAGTCAATTCCATCCGACACATAGCAGATGCTAATGGTTGATCATTATTATCATCAATTTCAATTAAATGTACAATGCATGAACTATTCGATTGAACCAATGGATCACTTTTCACACGAAATGCGGTACCCACTCGTAAAATAACTTCATCTTCACTTTCATATTCTGTATATCCAGAAACCTTTTTTCCATTGATAGCTTCGATTAAAAATAAAGTTGATTTTTTGTTGTCATCAAGAAAATTCTTAATAACGTTCGGCGATGATGAACATGAATTCACACTCCACCACGTCACAATTTGATTTTTAGTGAAATTCTTACCAATATCAACAGATATACCTCTCCATACTGATTCTTTGACAGTAGGAAGCTTATTTAATGCTGTGTCAAATAGTTTCATGTACGGAAACCATATCTTTAGTGCTTGCCGATTTTCTGATCGTAATGCTCTATTCAAAACACGATACAATGTAGTATCGCCCCATTCCATTGTATAAATATGCACAGCAGCAGATTGATCTTGTGATAGTCCATGTTCTGGTGGAAAATGACAATGTTTTTTAGCTATTTTTATGTAACGTGGTAGTTCATCAATGTGAGGTACGATAGGTTCTAGTGCTTTCTCTATAGGCACAAGTTTTTCACTATGATAACCATAAACAGGTGGAAGTCTTTTATTTGAGGCATCGATATCACCAAAACGATTCATTATATCGATATTTTATCTATTGTTGAATAAAAAGATTGCTGAAAATTCGAACCAATAGATTTGTTATCACGATATTGTCCTGCAATTTACAGTATTAGGAAAATGAGATGGCTATGACTTCATATTTTATATTTTCAAATTTTGAGAGAATCGATTTTTTATTTAAGGCATGAAACACTCACTCTCTATAAAATTCGAACTCTTTTTTAATGATTTACTCACCAGAACCAATAATTTGAAGTTGATGATGTGATGTTACTGTTCGGAAGAATTCTCTTACGACTCACTACGTATGCCTGCTTTTTTTCGAATGATTCTTATCTTTAAACTTTGCTGCATATCTACATTATCTCTTACATTTCTATTTACTTTAAAGCTCCTTTCATTTCTTTTTTTTGTCTCTTCAAATCCCCCAAACACAGACATACCTTTGAGAAGGACTCTAGATAATAACAACAGTAAAACACTCAATGGAAGCCCAAACAAGAAGGAATGGGAAAGAAAAAAATCTTGAGGGTCTCAAGATTAAACTGTGTCAACAAAATTCGAGTTCACATATATATTGAGTTAATATTTTTAATAATTGACAAAAGAAAACAATAGAATCTCTTTACAATATATGTTGACTTAGTTAGATACGAAGATTCGATGCAAGTGTTGGTTCAGCATTCCAACTCTGTTCAACTGTCGTTTTAACACGTTTTTCATATTCACGTCGATTTGTTTGGTAAAGATTAGCTGCTTCTGAATTAGCTGGTGATGATACATTGGGTTCGTCGAGTAATGACTAAAATAAAAGTTTTCAAAAATCAACAGTACAATTTTCAATATCAATATATTTACTTGAATGGAAGTAAGAATAGCTGAAACATCATATGTAGGTGACCAACGATTTTGTAGAATATCAAGACAAATTCCACCATCGGCATAGACTATTAAAAATATTTGTTAGAAATAATAAACAAAAACTTTCTTTTCTTTACCATTTGGATGAAACATTTTTGATGTAAATCGAACAGATGGTGGTTTATTTGGATAAGATTCCGTAAATTCTAAAATTGTAATATTCAATCAAAGAATTCTTTTAATCTTCGTTCTATACCTAATAGTAATCGAAATGTACCATCTTCAAATGGTGTATCACTGGGTCTAATAGAGAAAAATCAATTTTTGTTTTTATGTGAACGGTTTTTGTTTTCAACGAACCCCAAAATAAAAGCATGCCAAATAAGAATATTATCATCTGAAGGAACAGCTGCAATACCAGCCGGTGGATCTTTTTGTAGTCTATTACATATCAATGAATGTTTCAAAAAAAGTTTGAATCATCTAATTTAACTTACTGTTTAAAATCTCGCATTAAACGAAGACGAGATGGAGTCGACATTTTCTTTTTAATAGCTATCTGAAAAATATACCACAACAAGATTCAAATTTTTTTTTCTTTCAAAAACATTAACTAAAAAAACGAAACAACAATAAGCCTAATCAAACTCTTCCGCTGATTCGGTGATGCCTATAAAAGAAAAAAACAATTTATCATTTGATTTCATAATTTCAATGTACAAACCATTCATGTTTCGCATCTTTTAACCAACGTTGAAATCTTCCAGTTAAATAGTTTCCTAGAATAATTTGCATAGGATGATAGATTAGCAAAGGTATAGTAATAGAAATATTATCAGGAAAAATCATTTGTAAAATAGGCATCCCTATAATATATAAAAATAGAATAAGTAATTAATTTAATTATATACTCATTTTATTTCATACCAGAAGTTAATGATTTTTGACTACCACAGAATATAATAGCAATTGTATCATTTGGACGGACATGACTTTTTTGACAAGCAAAAAACAGAACAACAATTAATAAGATTTGTATAACAAGAACTAAAAAAAAACAAAATTAAATACAATATTTCCATCAGCCTTCTTTTTTTTCATACTTGTCATAAAAAGAATTATGAAATTGATAAACGTTAAATCTAATGAACCATGCTGCTTGAATGTTTGACAAAATGTCACATAGATATTTCCAAGTAATATCCAACTAGAAGATAAGGTACACATGTTGATGTAAACAACACATCCTTTGATATATTACTTATTAATTATATTCGAATATGGCATTATTCGATTGACAGCAAGTGGAAAATAGATGCGCAATAATTGTCCAATAGAAATCGGTAGTAAGATCGTACTTGAAAGTGATATAAGCACATGAATAAACGAATGTTGTGCACCTACAAATGTTCCACCGAGCTATCAATGGGAAAACAAAAGCACATTCGCGTTTATATTAAATACGAAAACAAAAATATATAAATAATTTTTTTAATACCGAACCATCATGTAGAGAAGAATGGGCGTTAGCATTGTTCCTAATAGGCTGCCAATAGTTGAATTAAGCATTGCAATCGCCTACAATAGTGATATTTTAATAATAGAAATTATTCTTTTTCTTTTCCCGTTTTGTTTACTTCATTGCCACCGATCGCTCGAACAACAACAGCAGCAGTTGATACTGGCGATGGTAACGTTCCTAATGCTTTTATTCTGAAAATAAATACAAATGTAAAATGATAAAAACAGAAAAAATTATACCCAATAGATATTTGATATTGATATGTTAATGATCGATAGATTGTAGATAATATTGTAAATAGAATAGGACAAATAAGAAATGAAAATAGTTGAATGCATAAATGAATTCTATATTGAAGAACTGTTCGGTAAAGTTCCTCTTTTCGTATTGAACAACCATTCAATAAAAAAATAATGATAGTTCCTAATGATTTTATTGTCCATTCAGGTTTTAATAGACCTAGATGACAAAACTTTTTTATTTTTGTTCTATTTTTATCTGTGATAGATTATTATATTTATTAATAATGACCTTCTTTTGAACCAAATTCAGGATAAATAAAAGCTAATATAACCGAGAAAAATATTCCATAAAGAAACCAATATTTTGACAAGTGTGTCTTTCGATTAAAGACAATCATGAATCTATATATATATATAATTTTTTATTTTTATATCTAAAGATATGAATATAAAGATTGAAATCAATCAACAAAGTATCATAGTGAAAAAGGCATTTAATAATTTATCTATTCATTTAAATTAGTATGCTAGACTTGCTAATTTCATTGTTGCCATAGACATTTTTATTTCCAATCAACTATCGTTTGTATGTTCTCATGAGAAAAAAAAGCGAAAGCGAGAAGAAGGAAAAAAAGAGAAGAAGATCATCAGACTAGAATTCAATGTAGTAAAAAGGAACGATAGAAAAATCGGCGACCGTTGTTTTATAATTCGGACATGCGGATGTTTCCACATTTATATGCATAGGCTTTTTTTCCTCTTTTCTTTGCTTCAATATTTATTACAAGAACAAAGAACAAAGAAGAAAAAGACACTGATGTAATCAAATTGAGTCAAGCGCTCCTTTTCCTATAGCCAGTGCGTTTTTTCCTCTTTTCTTTCGTTTGTCACGCACTTGCATAGGAAATTGGTAGAGTGTCTGCGTTAGTCCGATTATTATTATTGAAATACATTGTCTATTCTAGATTATTTCCTCTAACATATATATATATATATATATATTGAATGTAAATAGTCTGGCGAATGTTTGTTTAAAAAAATATGTTAAGAAGCAAAAAGATACATAGGACTCGAAGTTACATAGTGCAACTATACTTTTATTCATTCTTTGAGTTTAGTCATTAATGATGCCGTTAAGTTTCTTTGGCAACGACTTGCGTGCACACACACGCACATTCATATTCACTTCGCAGCAGAGAAAGCAAAGAACTATCGACATAAGGAACGAGAGAGTATGACACAGAGAGAAAGAGAGAGAGAGTAGCAGCAGAATCATTTTATTACTAAAAAAAAAGAACTTTCCTCTTCCATCGCAACTAAGTACTCATTCATCATTATTTTTTTCCTTACACTTCTAGATAAATACAAATAACATGTCTGACAACATAAATAATAATTCTTCGTTCGACTTGTTGATTCGAACATTCTATCAAGATGATCGTACACAATTCGATATCGAACTTAATCATTTATTAGACCTTTCACGTTCACAAGACATGCGCCTATGTACTGAAATTATTCTTCAGGCATATAAAAAAAATGAATTAAATTTTCTCGAAGAATTACTTGATCGAGAAGTTATTTATAGTGGTATACCAAACTTAACAACATTACATGCCGCATCAGGTTATGCCTTATCACGTCTTGCTCAGTACCTTCTTGACGAACGAAAAACAGATCCAAATCAAACATGTACATTTGTTAAAAATGATCAACTCTCCGGTATTACTCCATTACATTTCGCTTGTGGTATAGGACCGGAAAATCTTGTTAATGAAACCGCTGATACTGTGAGATATTTACTGTCATCCGGTGCAGATGTTAACCTAGTCACATCACGTCAAGATACAGCTTTACATTGGGCATCTAAGTTTTCTAATGAAGATGTTGTTCGATCGTTACTCGAATATAAATCAAATGTCAATGCAATAAATAGTTTACAATATACACCATTATGCGGTAACTATATTTTAAATTTCCCGAAGAAAGAACAACGCAAAAGAAATATTTTGGTTTTTCTAGAAGCATGCTTTTATGGTAATTTTGAAATTGTTAAAATTCTAGTTGAACACGGAGCTAATGTCAATGGAAATCAAGAAGATGAACGTTCGCCAGGTGAGAAGAAAACGCTTCAAGGTTGTTCTATCTATTAATAAAATAAGTTTTTATTTTATTAATATTTTATCATCAAGGGATATTCTCCTTATAAGATGATGAACTAGAGAGAATGATAAGGATACCTCATGGGATAAATAAACAGTTATTAAATCATGTATACCGTACATATACATACTATTAACAAGTTTAATAGAAGAAAAAAATGAGCGACAAACAATTTTATGCATATGTCAAATCAAGGTCAAAATTATAATAATCTAGCCTGGGCGCGGAAATGATCAAACGCTATGCATACACATTCATTACTATTCTTTTTAGACAGGAAATTTGTTATTAGATATTAAATATTAAATATTAATGAATAAAAAAGGCGATTTTCCACATGAGTTAATCTAGAAAAAAAAGAAAATCTCGATGTCAAAATTAAGATCTAAAATAAAAAACTATAAATATATATCTTTATTATTAGTTACTCAGCAGGCGAACCATCAATCAAAAAAAGAAAAAAGAGGCCTATGTCAGATAATGTTCTCTTTTATGAGAGCGAGATTTTTTTGTAATGTAAGTAATGTTTGATGAACTTCCTGTCATAAAGTTTTTATAGATTCCGGAATGAAAAATTTATTTTATATTTTCAAGGGAACAAAAAAAAACAACTTTCATTAGAAGTTTTCAACAAAGAGACTTTTATATTCTAGTTCATCTCGTTTGTCGTGGCTTATTAAGTGAACATAATGCACGTCGAACTACTCCATTGAATGAATCTGTTATTGAAAAACTTGAAAAACGCCTAGAAATAGTTAAATATTTGTATTCACACGGTGCATCCATCGATACTTTTGATCATGACGGTCTCACTCCATTTATGTATGCATGTTCAAGTGGCAATTATTCATTGGTAAAATATTTACTCGATGAACATAAAACTAAAGATGATACATCAACATTACGAATAATCAATGAACGATCGAACACGGGTGAAACATGTCTAATGTATGCCATTGAATCGGGTAATTTGGATATAGTCACTCTTCTATGTAATCATGGAGCTAAACTTGATGATCAAAAAAGTCCATCCTATGTAACAGCAGCTGCTTTCTATGGGCATAATGAAATACTGGAAAAAATAATTCTACTTGGCCTTGATATAAATGAATTTGGTATGCAAACTACTTTTTATTGTTGTTGTTGTTGTTGTTGTTGTTAGCAAAAAACAAAATGAATAATCATTTTAGATCAAAACGATGATGGTGTCATATTCAATCCTATTTACGCTTGTTGTCATTGCGGTTCAGTAGAATGTCTACAATTATTACTTGAGGCTAAAGCAAAAATTGATTGGAAAACAAGTCAAGGTAATTAGATTTTCTACTCAAAAAGAAATTTTTTTACCATGGCTGCAGACTAAGACAATGTCTATCTTGTTTTTCTTTTCTATGCCCTTAGGAACAAATCCTCTACATGCTGCTTGCTATTCAGATAAATGTTCTGTCAAACTCGTCGAACTTCTCTGCCAATATGGAGATTTTGATATCAATGAATGTACGGATTCGGGTGAAACACCACTTCTTATGGCTATAGAAAGAAATGATTATGACTTAGTTGATTATTTACTGCGACAAGGTGCCTTGCCAGATCGACCCAATCATGATGAATGCTATCCTATTCATCTAGCTTGTTTTAATGGACACGCTAATATTCTCTATCTACTTCTTGCATTTAATGCTACTATTGAACAGTCAAATGAAAACTATCCACATCCATTGGTGATTACAACATATAAAAGAGATCTAGAATGTTCGAAATTACTAATTGAATCGCCTAAATGTTCCGATCGAATGGTTCGTGAAATCTTAATTGAATCAATCGAAAATGGCTTTGACGAATTAATAAGTGAAATACTTAATTTACGACCGCATCTAATACCAGATGAACTTAAAGATAAAATGGCTGATACACTTCTCGCACTCGAACAACTCAATATTGATTCATCAGCTTAATTCAGCCCGTTAAACTAATACAAAAATTTCAAAAAAATAAAACAGTAAAGCATATTTTCAAAAAAAAATCTATTTTTCCTCTGTTTTGTTTTTTTCTTCACAAAAAGAATTCACATATATATGTATTAAAAGCTGTCGAAACAACAAAATGAAGAAAACGAACAAAAAGATTTTGTTATCTTTCATTTTTTTTTCTTCTTTTTTTCAAAAACAAATAAAATAGAGAGCGTAAACAGAATGGAAATAACGAGAATAAATAATAAATTTTTATAGAATAGGACAGGACATATGAAGTGTAAACATTAATTATCAATACATATTAGTACAGAATCTATCGCGTTTCGTTACATCACTGTAAACAAAAACAAAAAAGCAACGAGGAAAACAGAGGAGTATCGATCATTAGTTTTTTTTCTCTCTGACTAGGTGAAAAAAATATATATATATGCGATAAATTCAAATCATTATTTAAGTGGAACCCAAATGCCAAACAATAAGATATGATATATTTCTATTGTTAGTATTTACATCGTCAATTTTTTCTGCCGTTGAATCTCCAACACGAAAATCAATATAACCATCACCGCCACTTACAACAAGAATATCACCGAAAGCTAATGCTGATGCATCATTTGCATTTGTAGTTACAGATGAACTTAATGATTCCTCATCTTGAACTAATTTCGATGGTGGTTGACCGGGTACAGCGACGAAAAATTTCACCGCGTCCCGATAACCATGAAATGATAATTGAGCATTATTCATGCTACAATATGGAATATAATTCGACGACGGTGATTGATCATATACGCGAACAACAGAACCTGGTTTCGTTGTTGACGAACCAGGTGTCGTTGTTGTTGTTGTTGTTGAACCTAGACGAACAAGAAAGCCAATATCAAGACTATTTTTCCAGGTACGATTTAATTAGCTTATAAGTGCGCAAGATTGGTGTGATAGGACTCTTCAAACTGTCTGAGAAGTTCAATGAAAAATAAGCATCGCTGCACATGAACGGATAATTGACCTTAATACTTTTCAGTTCTTCTTTTTTTGCATAACCTGGATATATAATGGGTTCATTACGCTAGTTAGTCTGACCCATATATATTCATCTTTTGTGAGTATTTCCTATAGGAAACGATTGAGTTCTCGAGGAAAAAGCAATCTCATACAACATGTAGCTATGAGTGCGTTTCTGTTTAAGAAACAAAATGAGATAAGTACTTCTAATTATTTTGCTTTTACTAAACATATAAGTCAGATGTTATGATCGAATCTTCGTTTCATTTACTAGACTTCGCGTTATTTCATGACAAAATGAAGTCTTATGGAATGTTATTAAAACATGTCTATTTCCAATTCACCAGTCGCTAATTAATGGCAATGCGTACGAATTTTTCAGCCTGACAGAATCGTTCGCTGAAAGAAAATATGATAATTAACGCGATGCGAAGCAGAAGCATTTCTGTAGTCGGTCGCGAGTTTTTCTTTTCCTTTTTTACTTGACCGTACGGATTGTTTTCGTCGTTTTGTGACTCGATGATCTCGAGAACCGAAAATGATAAAAACTTCGTTGTATCAAGATCGAACAGCTTACACCTGTTTTCGAATCTTCAATCTGAAGTTCCGTTCACTCACAAATTTGTTTCGAGATAATTAAAATGACGTCATCAACATATGTTAGCCACTATAGTCTAGTCATTTACAGTTGATTTAAGATAATGAATCATAGAAATAATTAATCGATCAATGGAAATCGATCCCTAAGAATGTATCGCTAAGTAAAAATAGAGTTTTCAGAGTGATGAATTACATCATGGCTACATAAAAAGTATTCAAGATTTCTTTGAATTGAAGATCTTTCGTGAAGATCCGAAGTTTTGCTTCTCACCGCACTTTGTATACGAGTGCAACTCGGATAACATCTAGCTTAAATTATGCCCCTTTGCATTGGTTAGGATAGGACGAGATCCTATTATACTTGTTTAGAGTTATCAACGGTTCATGAGTGATTCGCTTTTTCTCTATCTGTTCGCTCAAGTAATCTCAGTCAATATGATTTATCTTGATTAATTAAATTATTTTCAACTCTACTTACTGTCAGTAAGTGGAACAGAAATAATAATACCATTACCAGTACCAATCCATAAACGACGGCACGCAATTGTTAATGCACTAATATGAACAAAATAAAGGCCGGCCTTTTCTGTTGCTGAAAAAACGAACATATGAATAGAAAATGTTTCTGAGGAAAAAACAGAAATTTACCAATCATTTTTTCAACATATGGTTGAACATCAACATCTTGTAAATGTTGATATGTTTGTGCGTGATATAATTGTAAAGTGCTTGATAAGCGAATAGATAACCAAACGCCATCACCAGACCAAGTCATATGTTGAACTGAATGATCCGGACGAGAATGAACATCAAATTGTTTCTAATTGATAGCAAAAAAAATCAATCAAAAATAATAAGAGCAGTAGACAAAACTTACTCGAACTTCTAATGTTTGCGTATGAAGAACATAAACTCGATTAGCTACGCCACACCAAAGTGTTTCTCCAACGCCAATCATGCATCGTACTGATTCACGACTTTTACCAGTTACAATTAAATGAATGTTATTTAAATTCCATGTTCCATCTACAAAGCAAAAAAAGAATTATTTTTTTCGAAATTTTCCAATCGATATTTCTTTCTCACCTAGATTTCGGTGAAATACAACAATTTTTTCATTGGCAAGTGCAACAAATACTCGACCACGAACATGACTAAACACAAAACATAAGTTGAGAGGTTTTTTCTTTTGCTCTAATCATTTCTTACACAATACTGAAAATAGCATGTCGAAGCCAAACTTTTTCAAGTGTTTTTCTATGTTCACTAATTGCTGAATGAATATACAACCATCCATCACCTGATCCTAACCAAACAGTTGGATATTTCGTTGAACAAGCTGTTTTATCGACAATTGGAGCTATGAAAAAATAAATCGTTTTTATTAAAATCCGGTTAGAAGAAAAACAGGAAATTCAATCAGATTAGCATAACAAACAAAACTCAGCGAGCATTACTATCGTTTCGACGTGGAAAGCCTGGCCAAGATAGAAATGTTCTCGAGCCAGAACGCATTCTATTCTCTTTATATTTCTTATCTTCTACTTAAAAATACATATTTAAATAGAGTTTATCAATTAAATACTTACGTTGACGTGCTAAATCAGCTAAAACTTGTTCGGGTGCTTTTAATTCCACTGGAAACGCGTCCGAAGTACTTGAACGAACTTAAATAAAATTCTAGTTATTTATCGAATTTTTCGTTTTGAATAAAATCTTACTTCCACCGACAGAGAGTGATGCAACAGTACAAGGTGTAATTTTCACATCTAAACAACAAACTATTTTATATTTAAAAGAATTTTTATTTTCGATCGAGTTTTACCACTAGCAGATGCTGTATCAGCTTCAAATAACGTCCACGATGAATTTTCAAATGATGTATAATCATTACTTGTTGGTCCTAGAGGAAAATATTTAGAATTGAATTCTGAAAAGAAAATTGTTTATTTACCAGGCACACTTCCCATGGTGTAGACAACGGTATTTCCTAATGTAAATGTATCAATAACTTTCTCTGCTTTATTTGAATCAATAATTGTAATCATCGCTGTATCATTTGATTTAGCAGCAATCCAAACGATTGATGATAATTTTAAACATTGTTCATCAATCATTTGATGGTACGATTCAATTAATTGTTTATTTAATTGATCGACCGATGGATCGTTACTTGTAGAATTTTCATCAATAATTGGCGATGAACCATCAAGATCAATACCAACGGCCCACCAAATCTAAATGTAGTTAAATAGAACTTGAACATGCTTTCTTCTTTTTTTAAAATTTGTATCAATTACTTGTGTTGTATCATTGGTATTAAATATTGGCCGACAATAAACTGGAACAGGTACATTAACTTGAACTTTACCATTGATTTCGGACAGTTTTAGTTGACTTTTTGATGATAAACTCCAACCATATGCTTGAAGACGACTATCATCATTAATTAAAATGGAACTACTTTGACGTGCTGCTGGTGTTTGTTTTGGTATACTAGCAATAGATGTACTAAATTAAAACAAAGACGTTTCTAATGATAAAAATTCAATCCAAAAGTAAACCTTTCGGATACTGATCGTTCCATTGGGCGATTTTCTTCGGTTGTACTTTCTTGTTTATGAGCTACTGGTGATAGTTGATCGTTTGTTGAACTACGTTTAACTGCAGACAATGTTGATAGATTAGTTGTAGCAGTACGTTTAGGTGGAACCTCTCTAACACCAGTACCAAATAATCCGGAAAAACTAAAAGATTGAATAGAAAAAATAAAATCAATACAAATCTGTTTATTCGAATAAAACTCTCTTTCGTGATCGTTTTTATTCTTACAACTCAGAAACTTGCGTTGTACCCTCTCGTAAATCATTCTGTATACCACCAGCATGTGAGCTTAAAATATTTGTGGGTAGCCAGTCATTACTAAACATACGCCACAAAGATTTTGATGAGCTTCTAGAAGGATTTTCTTGTACTATTTGCTGATAACGTATTTTGGTTTGAGTACCGTTGCTCTTCAACGAAATTTTCTGTAAGGAAAAATATAGGTGTCTATTGTTTCTTTTCCATGTCATAAGCTCGGCCATTTCATGCATAGATTAGTAGATATATAATAGAATGAAAAATGTACCGAGCGGATAGATAGAATCGTTTTCTTTCACGATGATGGGTACAACGCAAATTCTCTTATGATACAAAAGTCTTTTTTTGCTTTTAACAACTCACAGTTTCCAAAATGTTGTTCTTTTCTTGTTTTGCGAATGATCAAATGCGCTTTCATTCATTGCGTTCAAACCCGCCGATGGATGCAATTGTTCATGTTTAGATGCTCGCATAGCATCTTGCCAATGCATGGCTTCTTCAAGTTCAAATAAACGTTGTTTGTACTGATTACGTTCAAGTAGAACGCGTTGCATTTCGACCCGTGTAAAACGCTTTCTATCTGCTGTCGGTACATCTTCCTGAGATAATATAATAAATATTAAGAAAACAAAAAATTACTACATAGAAAAAAAATCAGCTAAATAAATCTAATGATGCATAGAGCAGCTAAAAAAATCAATGATGGCATTTCATTTATAAATAAACTTACATCCCAGAACATCTCAAGAATCTATTAGAGAGCATAACTATGTTAAGTATACATGCAGACTTATTTTTATTCGAAGCTTGTTACTTCTTCATGCTTATAGTTATATGTATATACTTTGATCTTACCTCTTCTTCTTTTTTCTTTTTTTCAAGTTCTTCACGTGTTTTACGAAGCTCTTCTTCAACTTCAGTGATTCTGAAATTTGAATTTCTTATTAAAAATTGTCTCAACTAGATATTTTTTATATTTACCTTGATTGATATCGATTTTTAACTGTTTGTAATGAACTAACTTCTTCTCGAAGCATTTCTTGTTCACTAGAAATAATTATTTTGTATTGAAGAAATAAACTAAATCGTTTGTTTTTACTTTGATAATTCTTCAATCTTTGCCAATAAATCATCTTTAAGTACGTTCAATGCATTTCTATTGACAAAAAAAAGATAGTATCGTATGTTCATATGATTAGCAGAGTTCTACATACTTGGTCTCAAGAAGTTCATTATTTTCTTTGATTAAATTTGATACTTCTTTTGTCATACCTAAATCATTAAAAATTCAATATGATAATGAACTTATACTATTGAAAAATAAAACAATAATATTAGTATTAGGCCTATTCAAGCGTTAGTTAAAAAGAAGGAAACAAACAAGGAACGTCCTATATCCCATTGAACAACATTAAATTCTCACCGTAAAAGCTTTGTCGTACTGAGCACGAATTAAAAACACAAGAAAAAAGTGTTAGAAAAACACCAAAAAAGATGGCATGTCAAATCAAGTCATTTTACTTACCAAATAAATCTGCTGATGAATCTATATCTGATATATCAATATTTTCATTTTGTGTTTCTTTATAAAACGCTTCTGCATTTTTCCTGGAAACAAACAATACGTTAAAATCTCATTCGAATAAAATGTTTTCTTTTTTTTTTTTAACTTACGCATCATTCGCTGACATATCATCGTCATCATCGCTCACTGCAATATCTATGCAACGAAAAAATATATTTATAAAAGAGTACTAATTGATCTCGAAAACAAAATTTTAATTCAATCATCGTGCACATGCAAAATAATTAAATTTTTGTTTTGCTCAAACTAATTTGATTTCTGGTAGACTTTCGGATCACCTGCAGTGTTGTTTGTCTGCTCGAATTCATCTTCATTAACAAAGAATTCTTGTTCATCGAACGGCACCGGTAGAATATTGAGACTTCGCAGTTTCGAGAATAGTCCTACATAGCATGCAACATAGACAATACACAAACAAAACAAAATGCGAATTGGATCAGAATAGGAAAAAAAGACAAAATTTACAATAGTATTCAATACTAAAGCAAAAGCACAAGCAGCATAAAAGTTCAGTTAAATCGGGAAATGAAAAAAAAGATACCCAACTTAAATTATGTATTATTTTGATTATTCTCTCATGCGTTGATTGGGGATTAAGAAAATAGAAAAAACAAAAGCTATATAGTAGTTGGAATTATTGCCAGTCGAAAATAAAAGTGCCAAATACATGCTACTGCTGCGGCTGGTCAGAAAGACTCTCTCTTACCACGTTTATAATTTTCAATATAAGAATCATCGAAATCTAGATTAAATAATAAAAGCTCGAGTTTGGTTTTTAATAGCTAACGAAAAGGATAAGTGCGAAATTTCGTTTTGCTCCTCATCTCATCTCAGCGTAACCAATTTGGTTTTTGATTTACAATATGAGCACATTTTAGGCAAACAAATCGACAACACGAAAGGTTTCTTTACAACATAGCTAGCCGACCTGTTGCGAATTCCCTTAGAGAAATTTCATCAGACATTTTCGATGAAGTTGTTATTGATATTGTTGATGTAGATTTAGCCGATTTAGCTGAAAATATTTATGCGTATTATAAATCATGCACTAGTCAAATACAAGTTAAGGTGTGTTTTTGTATGGTCTTGCGTATCATTCATCTTTATGCCAAAAAAAAGATATTGAATTATTTTACTTACAACTATTTGGCCAATTCTCTGCCCAATCACCATGAAATGCTAAGTTTGAATATGGAATGTTTTGTTTTACGGAATTTTAGATTTTATTTTTGGGGTTCAAAGCAAAGGGAAGGATTTGAATGGGCGAAAGAGAAGTTTAAAGGAAAATAAAAGGATGCATACCTGTATTTACAGCTGCGTCATTACTACTAGTAGTATTAGTTTCTGTTTGAGTGTGTGTACCATCAGAGGCTTCAAGTTCAGAACGAAAATTGGCACCAACTGTTGGTTGTTTCGAATTTCTAATATGACAAAATAGATATTGATGACTCACTGGAGAAAAAACAAATTACTGAAAAGATATATCTGGACGAATATTAGTTGTTTCATCATTTAATCGTTCATTCGAAGATAATTCTGCATTGTCTGATAATTGTGATTGTTGTTGTGATGCTAATGGTAGATTACCTCTGTAAAAGAAAAACAGGCAACTATTTGAATACGACATGATACATCTTTTTTATAGGTTTACAATGTAAGTCATCGTTGAGAATAATCTAACACCTACTGGAAAACCCGATTTTGATATAATTAGAAGTATTCACAAAATAAAACTATCCTCTTCAAAACTTGTCTTCAAATGAGAAACCAGTTTTGCTGCTGATAAGTACCTCGATATCCACCGCTTGTTTTTTGGTCTCAATAAAGAATTATCTTATCAGTCATAGTACGTATCAAATCGAAATCTTATTTAAAAAAATACTAACCTAGACCTTGAAGCATTTTGTGATCCAGTTAATTGATCTACTCGATCTGTTCCATATAAAATTTTCGTTCTTTCCATATAATCACAATGAGCTTTGAATAACTAGATACATATATATATATATGTCAGCGAATGTATAATTACAATAGCATTGCTATTTTTTTTACTTCACAATATCGATCATGTAATCGTTTATAATCTGTTTTCGTCTCGTTTTCTTTTTCTTCTAAACGTGCAACATGATCAGCTGCATTTCGTGATTTGATTTCAAATATTTTAACAATAGATTCAAGACTTTGTAATTTTTCATCATTTTCACGTTTCATTTCTTCAAGATGATCTTCCACTTGAAGATAACGCTAAATAACAATTGAAAATTACAAAAGAACGTTTTTTTCTATTAAATGAATAATTACTTGTTGATATTCTTTGTGAAAACCTTTTTCACGTTCATATTGTTGAAATACTTGTTCGTTTTGTTCTTTTAAGGATTCAATTTCAAGTTTACTAACTTCCCGTTCATTAAGAGCACTATCGAGTGATTCTGAAACATACATGTATATATATATATATACAAGCTTTATTTATCAAATCGAATTTCATATAACAAACCTAATGTTGATATCATGACAGGCATTAAATCTTTTACGCTATTTTCACCGAAATTTTTTATAATACGTTCCAATTCATTATAGACATTACTCGCTAATGTTGTTACAGTTTCAGATAATAGAGTATGACTTTCTTCACTTGCTCCCGATGAGGATAATTCATGTTCGTTAGTTGTATTTTGATCAGTTGTTTTCAATCGTATACGATTCGGGGAATATATAGGTTTTGGCACTGTAGATTCGGAAGACATTTGCAGTTTTAAGTAAGGTTTCGTTTCATCTACGAGAAAACAAAAAAAACAAATGAAAAACTTATTTTCGTCGCTTGAATTTGATCGATTGAGTCTCATTTGACCTCGCACAGTAAAATGAATCATATTTATTATTGATCGACGCAACTGATTGGATTTTGAAAATATGCATATACCGAAAAAATTAATAATCAATAAAAATAAAGCAAGTTAAAGAAAGATTCACAAACAATTCATTTTATTTAACAAAATTTGTCTACATAGATGGCGCTATCGACTTACTTGTTTGATTAAGTATATTGACTGATGAAAAATAATCTTTGGCTTAAGACTATAAGTCATTGTTTGAAGATTGATTCAATTGAGAATTCATGAGATGAATCAATAATGAGACCGATGGAAAATGAAAGGAACTTTTTTTCTTGTCAAATAATTTGCATTTAATTATTAAGCAAAACTAACATAACACTGAATTTTTTTCGACACAAAAATGCCGGATCGAATTTTTAAATATTTGAATAAAATTTTTGATATTATTTTTATAAACATGTATGCAGAGTATTTATATTCAAGAATAATCATTTCGAAAAGTTATACAATGTTGAATGTATGGATGATCCAATGCATGCATTAAGTATGATGTATTACCTAGGGAGCTGATTTTAAAGTGAATAGTATGTCAAACTGTTGTTGTTTTTCAAGATCTCTAGAGAGTCATGATAGACTGTAATGCTTTCAAAATTTCAAGGAGAACTACATGTTACCTAGGCATGCATCTTATCATACAAAAAAAAACTAACAATATGAGGATAATATCTTTGTTTCAATCTATTTTTAGTTATTTAAAAGTTGAAATAAATGCTCTTCACGCATTTTTTCGATCAATATTATTTATTCATTTTCCGTAGGTTATACATAATAAAATTTAATGTTATATTATTGAGGTTACTAAATAGTACAAAATGACATTCTCTCATATGTTTGGCTCAACTTCCAGGCAGTAGATTCGGAGAATAAACGAGAAAAATAAATGACTATTAACTTGTACTGATCAGGAAAGATTTATCATAATATTCTCTTGTTTACATTTTTATAATAACAAAAACAACATGCACTTCTTAAAAGATTGACAAAGGTACTCAAGACTCATGCAAACCTATTCTGCTGATAAATTTACATATCAACGAATTTTATCATGCCTCTCTTATCGACAAAAACGGATTTGTATTCTCTGTATTGACTTATTAAAGTATTATACATCGTTGTGAATTTACTGAAGAAGATCTAGGATTAGATGATAAATTGCTATTCGATGTTTTTTCACTGTGATCATGATGGTTTTCAAACAAATATGGTTTCGGTTGAATAGCATTGCATATAATACCAGAAATCAGTTTTCCATCAACAAATTGGACAATTGTTTGAGCGTAATTTTCACGCCAAACATATCGCCAAATTTCCATTTGAATAGCATCATTTAATATTTCCAGTTGATTAGGAACAATATCTTATTAAACATAAAGAAAAACGCTAATTGATAGGCTATGCATAATCTTGTTTTCCTTTTCTACCTCTTAATAGGAGAATATTTGGCATGCAGTTCGCACAAATATTGACTATTGTATAACAACTCCATGCAACTAATTTAGAATGTATATTTATATTATCGGCATTACGACCAGCATGTGGCATAGCATTTTGCATTATTTCGAATAATTTCGGTATCATATCCATCTCGTTTACCTACGAAAAGAAAATCGATAACGATAGATTTTTCTTTTAAAATAGAATCAAGTTAATATCTATCTAAAAATATTTTAGTCAAATAGAGGAGGACTCGATGAAAATTATAACCTCATATAGAGATTGAACAACAGCTTGACGAAAAATCAACATATAATTACATTCTGCATGAAATCATATTGTCAGAGTCTCATTTGTAGTTGATGAATACTGTGTGACAAACAGGCTCGCAATGAAAAAATTCAACTTCACCGCTAATTATTTTCAAATCAATAGGAATTACTTTCATTTGAAAACTAAGATTATCAATAGCTGTTTCAGAAATAGCGATCATCGCAGCTAAACACATTCGTAAATCTTGATGAGAAAGTGCACGGACAAATAATCTTGCATAGAGATGGGTTGCATTTTTAATTTGCATAGGACCTATGTGATTATTTAAAATAGATTTCAAGTTATCATTCAAAGATGTATTTATCTTTACCACAACAAAGTGAATGGCCGATTGCAACAATAGCCTTGAGTTTTTCTTCTATTGTTACTGATTCATCTTCATCGTGAACTACTTTTGACAAAGACAGAACAACAGCTCGTGCTTGATCATCCATTGATTCATAAACATTCAGAATAAGATCATGAATTTCATTGATTTCTTCTTCGGAATTTGGTTTCCTTCGTCGTAATCGAAACCATTCCAACCATGAATTTTTCTATTTAGGGAAAGAAAATTATTGTCGAGATTTTGAAAAATTCGATACTTTTTCGTATGGCTTAGGCAATGAAATACCACTGTTGTCATATAGAAAACTCAAATCCATCTGAATGTATGTAACTTTGAGAAAAAGAAATCTCATTAATTATTTTTATGCGATTGCATCATGACTCAAATGTTCTGCTAATGTTATGTATATGTAAATTTTTGATTTCTCTAATGCAATCACTATGTTCTCCTGTTATACAAAGTAAATGTATCATTTGTTCTTTCTTGTCTATGATAGTTTAAAAATAAGTTACTGTGATTAACTGCATAATTTCAAATTTCTACTTTCTTAGTTTATTGCAGAAAGTTTAAAATGCAAAAAGATACAAATCCATAAATATTTGCGTTGTTAATATTTGAAATATTATATCGTCATATGAATTTTACACCAGATAATTCTATAAGAGCATTTATATTGTACAATTGAGTTTCAACAAAAAGACTATTATGTTCATTTTTTTCGTTCCTGTGAACTATTGTTGAACATAAACGACATTGACAAAACTATTCTCAATGTATAAAATTCGAATAGACCTTAATTTTTCAATTCCATTAAGATGAAGATAAATCCTACAACATTACACTACACCATAAATCGTTCAGTAGAGATAAATCTATATTTAAAATTGGAAAAACTCTTGTTTATCAAGACTCGTCTTGAAAAACATAACATTTATTATTCCCTGAAAAGTTGAGTAATCAATTATGTTTTTATTTTGCGATTCAATCATGCAATTGTCGTGTTTAATATTGAACCGTTTGTCGATGCCATCTACACATGGGAATAAATGTATTTCACCATGAATTTTCTCTTCCAGGTCTGTTGCTTGACAACGTCAGCTGTAAATGTTTGTCGACAAGTAATCAGTTGTAGAAAAGCATATTATTTTAACTCGTGTTCGAAAAACAACTTCTATTGAGAGTGTTTCGTGTTGTAGAAAAGAAAAAGATGTTGTCAACGGAAAAATATGAATTCGATCCTAGTTATCGTGGACAAACAGGATCTAGTATTGGTGTTTCCACTGTTGGTTTTCGTTCGAATAAATACAATACCAATGAATGGCACGAAAATAACTATGCTAAATATCATCAAACATTTAGTGATCGTGATGCATCAGAAAAACAACGTTGGCAAGCAACACGAACCGAGAATGAGACACTCGCACTTTCACAACAAACTCAAGCTTTATCAACAAAAAAACTACAACAACGGTTTGCGAATATGAATTTATTTTCTTTTTCTTAAGGGCAAATAATACTTCTTTTTATATATTGGCCACTTACAGATTACATGACATCAACTTTTGGAAATTCGAACTCAATCGTATGATCGAAGATGTACGTAACGAAACTGATCTATTGATAGCACAAAAGAAGCGTTTGACGAATTCATTGGATGGCACTGAAGCTCCACTGCATATTGCTACGGAATGTTTGGCTAATCGAGATCGCCGTTATGGAGAAGACCGTGTTGTTGATGGAGTTGAAGTTGGCCTATTGAAAGAAGTTGAAATTATTAATAATGTACAAAATCTTCTACGCCAAACAATTATGACGGCTGAACAACAAATTAGGTAAAAAGAAGCACTTCGTGTGTGTGCGTGTGTGGTCAAACATTCTATTTCACGTCACTTATCACTTTGTGTGAGCTCGTCGAAAAACTGCACGCTATTATAGCAAATAAAAGTATGTTTTAGTCAAATAACTTTTCTCTCTAAAACCATACAGATATTTGAACATAGCCTTGTTTTAGTTTTCTTACAATGGAGGTGTTTGTACTGTTCATCACGAAAACCGCTCATATTGGTATCAAATGAAAGGTCTCATTGCCAAACTAACAGGGTTAAAATATTAGCGGCCCATGGCTTGCCTAAAGGGAGATATTCGATTTTTCAGTGAATTTTCTCTGCAGGACCCGCTTTCCCAGCAAAGTCATATTCTCGAATTTGAACCTGAAACCTTGTATGCTTGAAGGTCTCAATGAGACTAGTTTACCAAAAAA